AATTGTTAATGCAGCTAATGAAAATCTCTCTCACATGGGTGGACTTGCAAAGGCACTGTCTGCTACTGGAGGACATACTATCCAAGCAGAGAGTGATCTCTTCATTGCCAAAAATGGCAAATTAAAAGGCTGGACAAGTTGCAGTTACCACAGCAGGCAAACTTGCATGAAGCTTCATTTGGTAGGCCCGTGTCTGCAGAATGACCCAACAGTGCACATGATATCCCATGCAAAAAAACTTTTAACTAAAGGTATTTTGAACGTCATGACATGTGCAGAAGAGCACTAATTTTCCTCTGTTGCCATTCCAGCAGTGAGCTCTGGAATATTCAACTTCCCAGTCTCAATTTGTGCTGATGTTGTGGTCACCACAATCAAAAAGTACTTTGAACATAAGAACCCCACAAGTCCTCGATTTGAAATACACCTGGTAAACAATGATGATCCAACCGTGAAGGAAATGGAAAGGGCCTTCAAAGAGATCCTTTTGGAGCCACTCTCTGATGTCAGGAGGACAGTGAGTACACCCAATTTTAAAGTATAATTGTCATCTTTAGTGTTTTATAATTAAAAAATTATAACAATAAGCATGAATAAATAATTATTATGAAATAAAGGAAATTGAAGAATTAGAGCATCTATGATGCATAGAATAACCCTTTTCAAATTGTGCAATAAAAATTAGGTCACAAAAAGTAGCAGTCATTAAATACATTCAGGCTATGTTGTTCTTCTTCATTTGTTATGATTTTGTAATCACCGCACTTAGTGAGTATTATGTGAACTATATCAGCATTAATAACGTGTAATTCTTGCAAAAGGTAATGCAATTTTTTCCTTAATAAAAAAAATTACTTAAAATGATCACAACACTAACAAATATTTTCGTTTAAATTCAACCCACAAATCAAGGGGCCAGAGGATTCTCCATCTACACTGGAAAGGACAGAGCACCTTGTGAGAAAAACAACCGGTCTGACAAAGGACACTGCATCACAGGTGATGTTTCACAAACCAATTCATTCACAATCAATTCAATAACTGTCACGGCCTGGAGGTTCTCCTGGTCGCTGATCAGCTGTCTCTCCCTCTTTCTCTCTAGTCCTCTCTCTCTCTCCCTCTCGCCAGGGCTGAACTCATCATGGGTTCACGCCCTTGGCCCTTGGCTATTGTCTTGTTGAAACACAGGTCGCACATTTGTGGAAACAACAGGAAACGGAAGTTGTTGTTTCTGTGGTCCCATCTCAGATTAGAGGTAACAACTGTGTCATACGTCACAGTGAGTTCCTGACCCTTAGACCACACAGCTGGCTTGTTGGAGAGGTATGTAATCCAGTTATGCAGTACTTTTTTTTTTTAAATAAGGTTAACGTTAAAGCTGGGGCAGAACATTAGTTTTTCCCTACACATTCAGTAAGTCTCCCTCTCTCTCCCTCTCTCTCTCATTAATTATTTTTAATGAAACCGTTTAAAACATCTCATATTATTATTGTTCAATATTTTACTATAATACTCCTTTCTACATACACGTATAATATTGGTCAACTTATTTTTGTATTTTTTATATTTATTTTCAGCATCTTTTGTTCGTTGTTTTAGGAATTCCCTATAGAGTGTATTTTTCTTTTTACATGCATTTTGTAAACCCTTAGTGAT